TCTGTAACAAAAATAAATTAATTAATTTTAAAAAAATGAAACAAAAATAAATTAATTAATTTAAAAAAAAATGAAGACAAGCAACCTACCAGACACAGAGTTCAAAACACTAATTATAAGGATACTCAATGAACTTAGGAGAGGAGTGGATAAGCTCAGTGAGAAATTCAACATAGAAATATTTTAAAATTAAGATATAAAACATAGAAAAAAAAACAATCAGAAATGAAGAATACAATAATTGAAATAAATAATGCATTACTAGGAATCAATAGTAGAGTAGATGAAGCAGAGAATCAAATCAGTGATTTGGAAGATAAGAAAGCAGAAAGCATCCAATCAGAACAGCAAAAAAATAATAATAATTTAAAAAGTGAAGATAGTGTAAGGAGTGTCTGGGACAACTTCAAATGTACCAACATTAGAATCATGGGGTACTGGAAAGTGAAGAGAACGAGCAAGGAATTGAAAATCTACTTGAAAAAATAATGATGAAAAATTGTCCTAACCTGGTGAAAGAAATAGACATACATGTCTAAGATGTGTAGAATGTCCCAAGCAAGATTAACCCAAAAGAAGCCCACACCAGGGCACATCATAATTACAATGCCAACGATTAAAGACAATGAGAGAATCTTAAAAGCAGCAAGAGAAAAACAGTTAGTTACTTACAAAGGAGCTCCCATAAGACTATAAGCTGATTTCTCAACAGAAACTTTGCAGGCCAGAAGGGAGTGACATGGAAAGCAAGGACCTACAACCAAGATTACTCTACCCAGAAAAGCTATCATTTAGAATCAAAGGACAGATAAACAGCTTCCCAGACAATAAAAGCAGTATTACAAGAAATGTTAAAGGGTCTTTTTTAAGAAGGAGGAGGAAGAGGAGAGGAAGAAGAAATATGAATAATAAAATGGCAGTAAACACATACCTATCAAAATGTACTTTAAATAAAATGGATTAAATATTTTAATCAAAAGACATAAGAAGGCTGAATGGATAACAAAAAGAAGACACATGCATATGCTGTTTACAAGAAACTCACTTCAGATGAAAAGACATACCCAGACTGAAAGTAAAGGGCTAGGAAAAGATATTTCATGAAAATGAAAAGGGGGGGGGAGGGGAGGTTGAAGTAGCAATACTTATACCTGATAAAATAGACTTAAAACAAAGGGTATAACAAGAGACAATGAAGGATCCAGCAATTCAACTTCTGGGTATTTATCTGAAGTAACCCAAAATACTAAATAAAAAAGACATATCTATCCATATGTTTATTGCAGCATTATTTACAATAGCCAAGATATAGAAGCAACCTAAGTGTCCATCAATAGATGAGTAGATAAAGAAAAAGTGGTGCTTATGCTCAATGGAATATGATTTAGTCATTAAAAGAATATATAATGAGCCCTGGCCGGTTTGGCTCAGCGGTTAGAGTGTCCGCCTGCGGTCCGGAGAGACCCGGGTTCGGTTCCCGCTAAGGGCATGTACCTCGGTTGCAGTTTGTCCCTGGCCCTGGTTGGTCGTGCGGGTGGCAGCCACTCGATGTGTCCCTTTCACATCGATGTTTCCCTCTCTCTCTCTTCCTCTCTCTCCCTCCCACACTGTCTGTACAAAAAATGGAAAAATGTCCTCGGATGAGGATAAAAAAAAAAAAAAAAAAGAATATATAATGAAATCTTGTCATCTGCAACAATGTAGATGGACCTAGAGGGTATTGTGCTGAGTGAAATAAGTCAGACACAGCTTACCATATGATTTCACTTATATGTGGAATCTGAAAAACAAAATAAATAAACAAGCAGATACAGAGAACATTTTGTTACAAAGAACATTTTGATATTTGCCAGATGGGAGGGAGATTGGATGGAGGGGTAAAAAAGGTAAAGGGATTAAGAAGTACTAATCAGTTACAGAATGGTCACAGGGATGGAAAGTATAGCCTAGGGAATATAGTCAACATTGTAGTAATAACTATGTATGGCGTCAGATGGGTACTAGATTTATCATGGTGATCACTTTGTAAGTTCTATGTCTAATCACTGGGTTTCACATCTAGAACTAATATAATATTGTATGTCAACTGTAATTGAAAAATGAAAATTATTATTCAAAAATTATTTTTTATAACTCTTTATTGCTAGTATATAGAAATGCCTCATTATTACTTGGTTCCTTTTCTAAAAAGATAGATTTCTAACTCTACAGGATTGAGAACTTGAGTTTAATGTGTCAACAAGCACTCAATAAATTAGATGTTCAGAGCTGACCTTCAGTAGTACACAATACCATGGCTGTACTAGATGGCTGTTACTCAAATAGTGAAACATGTCCACAGTGAACACGGCTCCCCTTCTTTCCCTCTGATCTCCTGGCCATCCTGGACTTTCCCTCTGGACAGACCCAGACCTCCCCAAGTTCCAGACACTAGTAATGAGGTTTAATATTGTTTCTTATGTTTATAGAACATTCATGTAGCATCTTTTATAAAAGCAATTTTTTGCCTTTGCCAAATTTTTTTCTATTGGAAAGTTTTTTCTTATTAATGTGCAGACATTAATTATACCCTTTGGATGCTCTTTTGTGGTTTCAATGTATTGCGGTATCTTTTCACTCTCTTTTGTACTTCTACACCAGGCTCAGCTGGGACCGTAGCCTTGTTCCGCTGGAAAGGCAGGTGCCCGCTGTGATTGTTCCATTCCCACCCATGAGAGTTATTAAATATTTTCAATGTCGCCTCTTATGCTCATATACCAATGCTAACATAGACACCAAGGGTAAATTATTAATCCAAGTGGTTTCTTACCCAGGGGTGCAGAGAGCTCAGAAGGAGATGATCAGCTGGGGTTCAAGGAGGAAGCAAGAGATCTCAGTTGTAACTACGGGGATTCTGGCTAGCACCCACTTCTGATAATTCCTGCCCAAATCCCTACAGCTTTACCAAGTCTATTCCTCCACTGAGGGCTCCCACAGGCATCTCAACCACACATGTTTCAGACTGAACACATCATCTTAAAAGCTAAATCTACTCTCCTCCTGATTCCCCAAACAGGTAGAACAGTGTCTCCAACCATCTTCTCCCCTACAGTAGAAAATTCAAACTCCACTTTATCCTCAGTTCCTCTCTATTGTTATTTACCAAGATCTGCCATTTCTATGCCATAAAAATCTCTTGAATACATCCTTTTCCACAGTCCCAATTACCCCTGTCTCCTACATTTTTAAAATAATTTCCTAGCCTGTCTCTTGGCCTCCAGCCTCCTTTGCTCCTCCAGTCCCTCCCCTGCACTGCTAACAGCATTAGCAGTCCTGCCTGGCCCATTAGCCTGCTCTGTTTCCTCATCTGTGGAAGGGAGTGTATGGGAGCCAACTGCCTTGGCAGGGAAGAGGGCATTATCACTGATGCTGCTTAGAATGGAGCTAATATAAAGCAGACTGGCTTTGAATTGGTTTTATTATTGTGTAGAAGTTCTCTGCAGACAAGGCACTCCTTTTGTGTACACCTAGCCAACTGCTCCCACCCCCATTCTCGCTGGTGCGCTATTGGAGATAAATGATATGTCTCATAGAGCTGCCACAAAGGTCAATGGAATAATGCTCACTGAGAACCTAGTCCAGGCCTTGCACGCAGTGAGCACTTAGTTGACGTTAACACTGATTAGTAATAACATTATTTTTGGTTTCTTACCCCTTATATGATTCCTGTTTTGGCAAGCCAAGCCTTTCTGACCTCAGACACTCCCTTCCACCCTCCTGAACCCTATACTCTAGCAAAACTATTTATTCTGCCTTCAGCAAACCAAGTTCTCCTGTGTTTTCATGCCTTTGCAAATGCCCTTGACTCAACCTGGATGTCTTCCCTCTTTTCTGTAGATACATCATTTAAGATCCAGCTCACAGTCATGCTTTTTGTGAAGCCTTGCTCAAATTCTCCAGGCAAGGGAAATACCTCTTCCCTCCCGTGAGCCCAAGGCTCTCTGCTCGTATCTCGGTGTGCTGGGACTGGGACAGTCTGTGTGTGCTCACCTCTGTGATCAACTTTGTATCCACAAGCACCAAAAGGGGTGAGCTCATATTACTGGCTCAGTATTTTCAGGGATTTTGCTTGTTTTGGTTTATTGGAACAAATAAATGTAAACGGTTTTGACTTCACCCTAGTCTTGGCAAAAAGCTTGGGTAGTTATAGTTTTGGTCACTTTGTATAACCCGGTATTGCACTCTTCTATCCATGCCCCAAGAAAAATCTTCCCCAACACTGGAGTGCCTGTCTTCCTAAGGAACTGAACTCAGTGACTAAAGGAAAGTCCTTTTTAAAGTAGGGAGAGTGGTGAGCAGGTCAGCTGTCTTCCCAGCTGCCCCTGAGAGGGCGCTGTTCCCAAATCAAACCTTCAGAGGCCTGGACTGAAATACCAGCGCGTTCCCACAGGACTCTGCATCCCGAGCTTCCCAGGCAGCGGCCGCAGGACCCCAGCGGAGCATCTGCCCACAAACATGGCTGCGCCCTGCTCAGCTTCTCCGCGCCCGGGCCGGCTGGCCAGGCCGGCCTTGCCAGTACTCGGGGACTTCCTCCAGGAGTCGGCTTCCTGCACCGCTGGCATTTAAACCGGCGCCTGGGGCTGCGGTGCCGAGCTGTCCGCGGGCTTGGCGGAGCCGCAGCATCACCCCCTAACTGTATCCCGGGCAGAGCAGGGGCGGTCTGGGGGGAGATCGCGGACCCGGCGTCTGGCAGTTTATTTACAGGTTTGACTTCAGTTTCCGAGATCGCAACCCTCCTGCCCAGCCCCGAGATTTGCCCTCCCTCTGGCCTTGGTTGCTGGATGAAGCAGGGGCTGGGCTTGGTCCCGCGAGCTTGGGAAGAGCGCGTCCTCCGTCCCGCGACGCCGCCCCGGGGACCGCCGAGCTGCGCGCCCGGGCCATGGTGCGGCTGAGCCCTGCGCTCCCGTGAGGCGGCGGCGCGGTTGCGAGCCCAGCGGGCCCGCCTGCAGGGCATTCTCCCCCAGGAGCCAAGGGCGCCGGGGCGCGGGGCTCTGCGCCTTCTGCTGGGGCCGCAAGCAGGGGTCGAGGGGCAGCCACGATGTTCAGCTGGCTGGGCTCCGACGACCGCCGGAGAAAGGACCCCGAAGTCTTCCAGACGGTGAGCGAGGGGCTCAAGAAACTCTACAAGACCAAGCTGCTGCCTCTGGAAGAGCATTACCGCTTCCACGAGTTTCACTCGCCGGCCCTGGAGGATGCTGATTTCGATAACAAGCCCATGGTCTTGCTGGTGGGCCAGTACTCCACTGGGAAGACCACTTTCATCAGGTGAGCCAGTCCGGGGCCCCAGCAGCCCCACCCTGCCACCCGGCACTTATGCCCGCTGTTCACTCCTGGTGCCCCTCCAGACTGATACTGCCTTCATTTGAGGGCTCTGAAGAAATCTTTGCCTGCAGTGTGTCCAAAGGTTACCCCACATTTCACTGACGGTTCCCCGCCCCATCCTACCTAGTGTCTCTCCACTATACTTAGAGCCTTGGCTCAGGTAGTCAGTTTGAAATGTTAAAATCAAGGCCATCCTATTCTTCCCATTTTATGGATGGTGAAACCAAGGCCCAAGAGGCACAAGTGAGAAATCCCATGATCCCAAGAGTACCTTATGTTTGTGGGGGGTCTCTTACATCCCCACTTTTTAGGGACATGCCCTTTATGGACCAGTTCCACTTCCCTTGCCCTTAAAAGGCTTCAGCCACTTACATAGGGGCTTTACAGTTGCAGCTAAGGAGGTCGGCTGGGGACCCTGTGGCCCCCTTCTTTTATCATTTTCTTCTCCGAGTAGAGCTGCTACACATATCTCTTGGAGACTGGACAGAAGCAGTATCCGGAAACAGAATGTTTTTTAATCTTTTCCCTTATTTGATCTTAATGGCTCAGTAATAATATTAAAGTATGTTCAGAGTGGAAGGGACATTGATGATTGTCTCATCCAGCCCCTTGACTTGGCAGGTGAGAACACTGGAAAGGTTAGATGCATGGAAGGAGATGCTTGGTTAGATGCCTGTAACTTTGAGGGTGGGTCATCCATTCCCTTGAATTACAGAATCCTTGGGCTGGAGAGATCCTCAAGAAGTCAACTTGTCCACCCAGCATTTGGAGAGGTCCACATATTGTCCACTGGAGTGATGAGACTTCTTCTTATTTTAGAAAACAGGCTTCTCTGCAGTCCTCAGTCCACACAACCTTCAAGGCCAGGCCAGTTTGCTTGGCCTCATTTACAGCCGTTGCCATGCCGCTGAGGGTGCTCACGGTCCTGTGTTGAGAGTCAGGCTCCTACAGCGTAGTGATGGGTTCTGTGGCCCCCAAAAGTCAGTGGTGCTCATCTCTTGCAGGTTTTAAAGCAAGGGTGCTCTTGTTTCCTTTCACTGACTGAGCACCTGCAACACTCAAAGCACTATTCTTGGTTTGGCAAGAAAAGCAGCAGAGTTAACAGTCTGGTTACTGGTTTTCTAGAGATAAATTTTATCTTAACATTAAGCTTATAACACACCTTCTGGAAGCAGGGCAAGCCCCACACTGACATGTTGTGTCTGAACAGAACACAAGATGAAGTGTACCCTTGGGTGGATAGCCTTGGGCTCAGCAGCTTTGGGAAGCTGAGTGATTTCTGAAGAACTTTGGTACCCAGATGGGGGAGGGGCAAAGGTAGATGAGCCAGTTGGTGTTGGATCTCTTATATTGTTAGAACTACAAGGGCCCTTAGCTGTGAATCTAATCCATTGCTTCTTAACTGTTTAAAAGGCCAGTTCTTCCTTTGAAAATCTGATGAAAGCTATGGACCTATCTTTAGAAAAATGCACACACATTACAAATTCATATATAATCTTGTGGGCCCAAGGGTTGCCTTGGACTTTAGGATGAAGACTCTGATCTAATCCATCTTCTTTATTTTATTAGACACCATTGCTGCCAAAGACACTCTAGAGCAGTGGTTCTCAACCTTCCTAATGCTGCGACCCTTTAATACAGTTCCTCATGTTGTGGTGACTCCCAACCATAAAATTATTTTTGTTGCTACTTCATAACTGTAATTTTGCTACTGTTATGTCTTAGGCGACCCCTGTGAAAGGGTCGTTAACCCCCAAAGGGGCGACCCACAGGTTGAGAACCGGTGCTCTAGAGATAACTGGGTTCTATACAAGGTTCCTTTGTATTCCATGTCCTCTGTCTGGCCTGGATTATGTCCCCACAGGAAGTCCATCAAGGCCATTAGTAGATGGCTCCTGCCCTTGCATAGCCTTCCCTGGCCCTGTGGGCACACCTTGGTTCTTTAGGGCGTCTCTTTCCTGTAACACCAGCACCGACAACTGTGCCTTAGCTCCCTGGGGCCTTGCCTGCATCTCAGCCACCCGAGGTTTCCAGTGTATGTTTGCAGAGTGGGAGGGAAAGTGGGGAAGGGCAAGCGTCCCTGGAGGAAAGGATCTCCCAGCAGCAGACAGGTTTAAGTGCCTCTTGCCTGAGACTTTCTCCTGGTCTCCTGAGTCACGCTGGCTGTTAACTGGGTCTAAGAAGTGGCAGGGTCGAGTTGCCATAGATTATTCGTTATCTGAGGGAAACAGGAAGGCCAGGAGAGGCAGATCCCTCCTCTTTCTTATCCTCCAAGTACAAGAGTTCTCTCTCCCGACTCATGCCAGTAACTGAATTTAGCTCATGCATCAAAAGCTGCGTCTCCCTGAGCGAGAAGGCGCCTGCGGGGTAGGAGGCCTGTAGCACAGGAAGCCTTCCCAAACCAAATTACATATTTTTCTTCCTTCTCATTAAATCTACAGAGCAGTTATCTTCTTTACATTGGGAAGTGCAGAGAAGAATGCATTTGAGGAAGACAGAAAAAAATCACCCATAATCCCACAACTCAAAGGAAACCATTTTAAATATCTTTCACATATATATAAATGCATATATTTCCAGTACTTTTAGCTATTTTATCACACAGGTAAGAGCATATCATCATGTAATTTGGTATGCTGATTTAGTTCCCTTCAGCAATGGTGTTTCTCATGTAAATTAAAAAATCTTTGTAAGCATTCTTTTTAAGGGCCTCATGCTGTTTTGCTATATGTGAATACAACTACCCGTGTGACCAGTCTGCTTCTTTTGAATGTTTTAGGTTGTTTCTAGTTTTTCTGCTATTGTAGAATCACTCTGGATATCTCTTTGCATGTTTTTCCACGGACTGACTGTTTTCTCAGAGATTCCCAGAAGCGAAATCACTAGGCCAAAGATTATACAGAGTTGCTTCTGGTTATTTTGTTTGCGTGTGTGTGTGTGTGTGTGTGTGTGTTTGTTTTACTTTTTAATTTTAGTGTTCAGAGTTATATCTGAGTTGCTTTCCAAGAGGGCAAGTTGGCACAGCACCCCTTTCCAAGGCTGTACTGGGTAGCTAGGTGCCTGGAGCATAGATCTCAGGGTGCCTTGGCCTTCCCTCCCTCCCCATCCCCATTCTTGCCTGGACCACCGTGTTCCTCCCCACAGTCCCTGGCCTGAACCTGTGAGGGACCCTTCTCTCTGGAGCAGAGACCTGCCTCTTCACTCCCCAGCCCTGGCCTTCGCCTCTGCTTGCAGTCCTATGTACTTGCCGTGGGTTTATTTCTTTTCTCAGGAAGAACGCACAGAAAAGGACATTCTTCTAATAACTAATTAATGTGCTATGATCTCTGCCTGAAATAACTTCCCTGGCCTAAGGCCCAGCAATCCAGAGTAATAAAATAAACAATAAATTGGCCTGGTGGCTGTTCCCTCCAACACAGGCTGCCTCTCCGGAGTACAGTAGCTCTGTGTCCCTCTGGCCCTGGCAGCCTCTCCTCCTGCCTGCGCTGTCCTCCTCCCTCCACTCTCCGTCTCCCTGGCATGTGGCCTCGGCGCTCTCCTCCCTGGCACCCTGTGGCCCCTGGTCACAGGTAAATAGCCGCTGCTCCGGGGCTGAGGAAGGCCCGGTGCTCTTGGGAGCTATAAGGAAGCCAAATAAAGGACGGCGGGGGTCAGGTGTCAGGCCGAGGGCTGCCGGAGCCAAGCCTCCCGCATCTGCACTGATCTCAGGAGCCAAATAGCCCTTCTGTAGCATGACTTGGACTCTGAAGTATGAGCACATAGTGGGGGTTGCTACTTAGCTAACCCTTTCAACCTCCCCCGCTTCTTCCAGGGATGTTTACATCCTCCCTAAAGGTGCAGCATTTACCTGTGCTGCTCCATCTCTCATCACCAGCCTGGCATCCATCTCCACCGCCCAGGCCTCACCCCGTACATTACAGCATCACCGTCCCATCGCAGGAAGTGGTTCTCTGCAAAGCTGCAGGGCTAGAGAAAGGGGCCATCATTTCAGGTAGATCCGCTGACCTCTGCAAGGTCTATCCTGCCAGGCACGGTCCCTGCAACACCTCCGTCCTGTCCACTCTGAGCTCAGTGGACACGCTTTTCCTACCAGCGCTCTGATCTGCTGGTCCTTAAGCGAGGCTGGGTTCGCCGGCCTCAGCTCCAGCGTAAGATCTGCCTTGAATGTCGTGTGTGGAGGTCATCAGGAGCAGCGCTGACTGGGAGGAGAAGGACCTCTGGAGAAAGGGCTCCATCCCATTACCCTTGACAATGGGCCCAGGCCATGGGAAGAACATGGCCTGCTCAGCAGAACCCAGGCTCCAGCAGATACCAACCAAGAGACCTTGTTAGCAAGATCTAACCCTTTGGAACCTCAGTTTCCTTATCTCTATCATGGGAATCGTAACAACTGCCTCATAGGGTTACTCTCAGGATTAGGAGAGGATAGAACCCATGTAGCTCCAGCCTGTTCCAGGCTCTCTGCTCGGGGCCTTATCGTTCCCTGTCTTCTTTCCAGCTGATTCTCTGACCAGAGGCTTAGAAGCTGGCCCTCAGGAGGTGGGGGAAGCCCTGTCCAGCCCCTGCCCGCAGTCAGGAGGACGGGGAAGGGCAGGTGTGTGCAGGGGGGGCTGGAAAAGGAGCCTGAGTGGGCCGTGCTGGGAGGGGAGGGGAGTGCGGGGCTTGGCCATGTGGCCACTGGTCTCCTTTGTGTTGGGGTCACCTCATCCCATGGCAGAGGCTGCTGTGCCCCAGGGACAGTGGTGGCCACTCTGAGGAGCATAGAGCTGACAGACTGAACTGCACCATCGAGGGTCTCTCCCAGGTGCTCCCTCACGTGTGTCTCTGGGGTGCTTCACCGTCTCCCTACAACCCCACGAGGCTGACGGGCAAAGTGTTATTGTTTGGATTCTGTTTTGAAGTTGAAGTACCCAAGGCTTAGAGTCCAAAGATTCAGGTATGTAGCACGAATACCTATGACACAAGGCAGAAAGTGATACGTGCCTGTCGATTCTACTAAAGATGTGCAAGTGAAAGCCGTGCGATTTTCAGGAAGAGCATGTCAGGTTTGGGATGACAGAATGAATCAGGTAGGGCTTCACAGGGGAGGCACCGGGCTGGATTTGGAGACTATGTAGAAATGTGCTGAGTTCTTACAGGCAACAATGAGGTGTTTGTTTTCTCTAATTATGGTCTGCTACTACGAGCAAATGTCTGGTGCAGCCTTTGTTTTTCCCAAACTCATGGATGTCATATCAAAACCTTCATGCTGTCCCTTTGAACTACTTAGAAACCAAGTACTATCCCCACTGTATGAACTAGGGAAACTGAGCCAGTGGGCTGTTGAGTGACATGTCCAAGGTTATATCTGTGATGGCAGAGCCACTCATGAAGGTGCATCCCCCGACAGCCAAGGCGGAGGGCCCAGCCCGTCTGCTCCCCTGCCCTGGGCACTGTCCCAGCAGCAGCCTGAGGCCTGGCCCCACTGTTGTGGAGATGGGTACTTTGGAAGCAGACTGGGCTAAGATTCTCAGCTCCACGCCTTACCCTGGGTGCTTAGGTCACCAGTAAAGCAGATCACACGCTTACATTGCCAGGCAAGCAGGACACATACATGCACGCACGCACGCACACACACGAATGAGGAAAATGTCATGAAATTATTTACGGAAGAAAAAAGGTAGTCCTCATAGGAAAAATCAAAATTGTGTTGGACTTCCTTACACCTATTTTGTGGTTTTAGTATTTACGTATTTTTCACTGGATGACGAGGTGGGGTGGGGGTGGGGGGTGGACAATGCACCCAAATCTTTTCAGCTCTTAAAGCCACTAAATATTTTCATTTAGCCATGAACAAGGGCAAGCTATATCTCAGTTACTCTTCTGCAAAACTGGACACGGCTGTCATCCCACAGCGCTTATAGGGGCGATTCAGTGCAATACTCTGGATAAAGGTCCCAGAGCAGCACCTGCCACTCAGCGGCCCCTCCTTGCCCTTGCATGTCCTCTTCTCGGCCGTTCCCACCCCGGCTTGAATTCACTTGCCTTTGTTTCTGCTGCCGTGGGAATGGTTTCGCCTGGCAACAGGCGATCTGTATCACTTCCCGTAGAGAAGCAGTGGTGAGAACCTCAGTAGGTTGTCCTTTCCGGACACAGTGGTGGCTTTGTGCAAGGGGCACTCGGTGCCGCAGGCCGTACCCAAATGTCCCTGAGAATTTACCCAGCTCTGGTTCTCTGCTTGGCCCCACTGTGTCCCTGGATGTGCTGATGTCTTTGCCGGACTCTGTGTCTCTCCAGACCCATGTGTGGTCAGCAGTTTGGGATCGTGTGGGTCGAGCCACAAGGGCAGGACAGCAGGCCCAGCGTCCAGGCCCTAGTCAGACAGACCCAGGCTGCGGCTCCAGAACATCCGGGGAAGTGGCCCTGTTCTGCTGGGAAGCGGCACCCTCTGGTCATCTGCTGGCACGGCACGCCTCTCGGGATGGAATCCGAGATGCCTGGGTCAGCAGGATGCTCCTCACTCCATCTGGCCCAGTCCAGGCTGGTGTTCTAGAAGCTGCCTCAGCATCGCTTCTCACTTCTGTCAGCTTTCCCGCAGGCCTTTGATCGTGCCCACCAGCCCCTCCTGCCTCGGAATCCACTCCGGCCACCCCCACAGGGCCCTGCTCCGGCTTCTCACCGCGCTGGTTGGGGCAGGTGTTCCTGGCACACAGGACGGATGGGGTTTCCCAGGCATGGTGCTGATTCTCATGAAACTTCTTCCCAGGGGACTCTGGCTTCACTATTTTTAAGTCCCAAGAATGTCCTTTGCGAGCCAGTGGGGTGGGGCCTGCTCTGGTCGCCTGAAAGAACTTGCATGTCATACCCCATCGCGGAGGCCTCGCTGTGAACCCCTGGGGCAGATGTGCATGGAGACGGGCAGGTTGCTGGGTTTGTGGGCCCCTGAGCCTGTCTTTCGCAGAAGGCCTGGGCCGTGGACAGCCTCCTGCCACACCATATTCTCTGTGGCCTTTTTGTCCCATTCCTTGTTCTAGTCCCTTGTGGGGCTCGGCCCTTTTGCATTTCCTGGTCAAGGGGAGACCTACGGCAGGAAATGTAGTGGCCCTGAGCGTAAATTCTCAAATCCAAGGGCTGGGTTCAAATCCTGCCACACAGCATGAGGCAGTTGGGTGACTGCTGTCCCCGCCTCGTTACAACAGGGTGCCAGTCTAGGCCCCGTCCTGGTTTGAGTGCTCAAGGGCTGTAACTCCTAGGAGGTGGGTTTTCTTATTAGACCTATTTGACAGTAAGGGTCCTAATGTTCCCCTCAGAGTGACGTAAAGGTGAAAGAAGATGATCCGTAGAGAATCTGGAACAGTGGCTGGTACATCACAGGTGCTTGATAAACTGGCACTATTATCTCCCGTGTTGTAGAGGAAGGTGCTGAGGTTCAGAGAGGCCCACTGCCTTCCGAAGGGCACATCCTTCCTGGTTAAGAAGCCAGGCCTGCTGGCCCCAGGCGGCTGGATCCCCTGCCCTTCCCAAGGCCCTGGAGATGCACACAGAAGGCAGGAAGTGCCGGCCACATGTGCAGCTGTCAGCACGTGTCCTCACCCGGGCCCCAGTGCCAGGTTCCAGCATGGTCCTCTGATGGAGGAAATCCTGTCCTCACACCCAGACTGTTGGGCCGGGATGCTGGACGGAGATGAATGGCTTCCCAAGGAACCTAAAACCCTCCAGTGTGTAGCGGGGGTGGCCTCCCGGCCAGCAGCTTCTTTACTGGCTTCCTGGGGAGGACCCATGGCACCCCGATTTAAACTGCCTGAACCGTGGAGTAACCTGGCAGCTCTGAACGCTTCTCAAAGGCAGGCAGGGTGTCCAGGAGCCAGAAGAAACCCCAACAAGTCTCTTTGGCCACCACACTGTGGACAGAGCAGGACACCGCTCCAGCCCACCTTGGGGAGACATAGGATAGGCAGGTAACCTGGGCCCTGGAGGCATGGCGTCTGGTCCCAGCTCTGCACTGACCTGTGGGGCCTTGATCAGCTCTCACTGGTAGAAGTGAGAAGACAGTTGAGGGCAAAGGATTTGGTGTTAGACTGATTTAGGTCTGGGCGTCAGCTCCACCGTTAGCCATTTAACTTGGAGAAAGTCCCATACCCCTTCCAAGCCTCAGCCTCTTCAGTACCTATCTGTAGGGCTGCTGCGAGACCCGAAAGAGGTAATGCTCCCAAAGTGATGGGTGCAGTGCCTGGCATGTGGACATGCTACCGAGGGTCAGTGGTATTGTCAGTGTAATGAGAGTGTTGTCAACCCCAGCTGCACGTGAGGGTCAACTGGGGAGCTCCTGAAAAGGACCCGTGGCCAGGGCCCCACCTCTGAGTGGATGGGTCAGAACCTCCGGGGGTGAGGCCCGGGCATCATTAGCTAGATAGGGCTCCGCAGTAGCTCAGCTGTGCAGCGGGGCCGAGGACCACTGGTCCCGGAGGGCTCCAGGCTCCCTTCCCGACTAAGTCTCTGATTTGACCTCTCATCTCCTGAGGGCTTCTTGGCTTTTCCCTCTGAGCATGAATACAACCCTCGATGTTTAGGAGGTTCTCAGCACAGAGTGAGGGCTCACCCCATGGGTCTGTGTTTGTTGGTCAGTACATTTCCTTAGCTCCTTGTCCATCGTGGTCTTGAAAGATGCCCCTGGGACTTTCCTCTGGCCAGTCCCAACCCAAGGCAGTTCTGGGCTCCTCCCCTGAATCCAGCCTCATGCTATTTAGGCTCAAAGCTCTTCTGAGCGTCTTCTAAAGGACTCGATTTCCTTACAAGCTATTCTCTTCACTCTCTGGCTCATCATGTGCCTTTGCTCTTGACTTCTAAAGGGCACTACGCAGAGGGCCAGGGCCTTGAGCTCTCACTGCTCAGGCCGGAAAAAGAGCAAAGAAAGGGACCTGCCACCTAGAGGGTGTACCAAAGTCTGGGAGGGGATGGAGACCCACTTTTATGGTGCACCCATCACACTGGTTGTATTTTTGTCTCATGCATGAGCTATTTTTATATTAAAGGACTGACTATCCAGATAAATAATGACCTATGGAAAGCTGGCAGAGTCCATGGATGGTCTAATTCTAACCATGCCTCTGTGCAGGTCTTCAGCGGGTTACCTTCCGTTGTAAACTCTGCAACAGTCTGTAACAATCACTTCGAACCCATGCTCCAAGCCCAAACCTTGCTTTGTTTTTTCCTACTGATTCTCAGAGGGAAAAAGATAAGAACCAAGAAGAGCTGACTTGGTATTTTAAGTTCAGCTGCAATCCCACCTGCTCCACAGTGTCTTTGGAATCCGCCCCGCAGTCATCTCTTCCTGCCGTGAATCTCATGGTCTGTATCTGCCCTTCTGTCGTGATGCACATCGTCACCAGCAGAATCCCTGCCTTATGACTGTGCTCCCTTCTGCCAGGTACCTACTGGAACAGGATTTTCCAGGCATGAGGATTGGGCCCGAGCCCACCACCGACTCCTTCATTGCCGTGATGCAGGGTGAGGTGGAGGGGATCATCCCCGGGAACGCTCTGGTGGTGGACCCCAAGAAACCCTTCCGGAAGCTCAACGCCTTTGGCAACGCCTTCTTGAACAGGTGAGTGCAGAGGGAGCACACAGCCTGACTGTTCTCTGTTCTTCTCCTTGAAGCATGAGAAGGCAAAGGACAGGCCAAGGTCTTGGGAGGCTCAGTGACTTTTCCATTCCTAGAATCTCCCTTGATTGTCCCTTTTTTGCTGGGAATGTAACTGGGTCCGTCACCATAGATTAGGGGTGTGAGAGCAGCACACGCTAGGCTGACTCCCCCGGATCAAGGGGCTGGGAGGGTGCAGCAAGGTGCATCACACCTCGCATCCCTGCGCCTCCCATCAACAGGCCCACAGAGCGCACCCAGCCCTTGCCTGTACTGTGAAGAGGGTTTGCCTCCAGCCGGGAGGAGGCGGAGGAAGGTTTTCCTCTGTTCCTGGACATGGTTTTTACTTGGTGGAAAGAACCCTGAACTTAAGATGGAAGCCTTGAATTTGAGCATTGACTTTCCTACTAAACTCACTGCGTGGCCTGGGACAGGTCACCTCCCCTCCTGAGACAAGTAGAAGCCCGCAGACAGCAGGGTTCTTGTGATGATTTGAGGGAGGAAAGCCAATCCAGGCCTTCCTGATCTTACTGTGTTTAACTAAAATGCCGGCTTATCCCGGCTTACCTTTGCTGTAAATCCACACCACATTTTTTTTTATCAGCATTGCACTAAAAATGATTTAACTACTTTATCGAATTGAAGGTATTTAGAGTAAAGGGAAGGACTATGGGCCTTGGCTTCAGACAGAGCTGGGTTCAAATCCTACCAAATAGCACCATGGAGCTGAGACAAACGACCTAATTTCTGTTCTCACTTTTCCCATCTGTAAAATAGGATGATGCTAATACCCTCCTCCAAGGCGAGCACACTAGTGTGGCAGCCTTGGGGAAAGTTGGCGTTTGACATGGGTGTTCAGGGACGAGTGAAGGGACACTGAAATCCAAGCAGAGGGGCATGAAAGAGGGTGGCTAATGCAGGAGCCTATGAGCAGCACTGGGGAAGGTCTGTGCTTTGCCCTGGGCGCGTTCAGCAGCGGAGACGGCAGGTGTTCTGACTGACCGCTGGCTGGGGATGTGCTAGGCATGTCCACTGCAAGGACAGCAGGGAGGGGTGACCAGCTTCGCTGCAGCCACTCGCGGGAGGCTGCAGCCCAGACCTCTGGTTCGCATCTCTGTGCCTCTCAGCCAGCCTACGCCGGCCCCTCAGCTCCCCGCCTTGGGCTCTGTGGGGATTCCAAGCCCTCGCCGACCACCTCAACCGCCTTCTTTTGCAGCAGCTAGCCTTACTTCTCCTTCTAGAAAAAATGGGAACCAGTGTCCACAGATCCATCTAGTTCATTTCCTCAACCTGCCCATAAACACGTTACTGTGGCTTGGTCCTCCCTCCCTCCCACCCAGGCGTGGAGCTGTGGCTCCGCTTTTCCTCACAGGTCTGACTCCCGCCCCCTCCGTGCTGGGCTACAGGCATCCTCTCGGGCCCTCCTCCCCCAGTTACCCTTCTCGGGGCCTCCTCCCGGTTACCCTTCCCGGGCCCTCCTCCCCGGTTACCCTTCCCGGTCCCTCCTCCCGGTTACCCTTCTCGGTCCCTCCTCCCGCGGTTACCCTTCCCGGGCCCTCCTCCCCGGTTACCCTTCCCGGGCCCTCCTCCCGGTTACCCTTCCCGGGCCCTCCTCCCGGTTACCCTTCCCGGGCCCTCCTCCCGGTTACCCTTCTAAGGGTCCCTCCTCCCGGTTACCTTTCCCGGTCCCTCCTCCCGGTTACCCTTCCCGGTCCCTCCTCCCGGTTACCCTTCTCGGGCCCTCCTCCCCGGTTACCCTTCCCGGTCCCTCCTCCCCGGTTACCCTTCCTGGTCCCTCCTCCCGGTTACCCTTCCCGGTCCCTCCTCCCCGGTTACCCTTCTCGGGCCCTCCTCCCCGGTTACCCTTCCCGGTCCCTCCTCCCCGGTTACCCTTCCCGGTCCCTCCTCCCGGTTACCCTTCTCGGGCCCTCCTCCCGGTTACCCTTCCCGGTCCCTCCTCCCGGTTACCCTTCTCGGGCCCTCCTCCCCGGTTACCCTTCCCGGTCCCTCCTCCCCGGTTACCCTTCCCGGTCCTTCCTCCTCCCGGTTACCCTTCCCGGGCCCTCCTCCCGGTTACCCTTCTCGGTCCCTCCTCCCCGGTTACCCTTCCCGGGGCCGCCTCCCGGTTACCCTTCTCGGACCCTCCTCCCCGGTTACCCTTCCCGGTCCCTCCTCCCCGGTTACCCTTCCCGGTCCCTCCTCCCGGTTACCCTTCTCGGTCCCTCCTCCCGGTTACCCTTCTCGTGCCCTCCTCCCCGGTTACCCTTCCCGGTCCTTCCTCCTCCCGGTTACCCTTCTCGGACCCTCCTCCCCGGTTACCCTTCCCGGTCCTTCCTCCTCCCGGTTACCCTTCTCGGACCCTCCTCCCCGGTTACCCTTCCCGGTCCCTCCTCCCCGGTTACCCTTCCCGGTCCTTCCTCCTCCCGGTTACCCTTCTCGGACCCTCCTCCCCGGTTACCCTTCCCGGTCCCTCCTCCCCGGTTACCCTTCCCGGTCCCTCCTCCCGGTTACCCTTCTCGGTCCCTCCTCCCCGTTACCCTTCTCGGTCCCTCCTCCCGGTTACCCTTCTCGGGCCCTCCTCCCCGGTTACCCTTCCCGGTCCTTCCTCCTCCCGGTTACCCTTCTCGGTCCCTCCTCCCGGTTACCCTTCTCGGTCCCTCCTCCCCGTTACCCTTCTCGGTCCCTCCTCCCGGTTACCCTTCTCGGGCCCTCCTCCCCGGTTACCCTTCCCGGTCCTTCCTCCTCCCCGGTTACCCTTCTCGGACCCTCCTCCCCGGTTACCCTTCCCGGTCCCTCCTCCCCGGTTACCCTTCCCGGTCCCTCCTCCCCGTTACCCTTCTCGGTCCCTCCTCCCGGTTACCCTTCTCGGGGTCCCTCCTCCCCGTTACCCTTCTCGGTCCCTCCTCCCGGTTACCCTTCTCGCCCACCGCCTCTGCCCTCCCATGGCCCCTCCTCTCCACACAGAACTATCTGCTCTTGAAAAGCCTCCAGCAGGTGCTACCGGCTTTCACCCTCCCCTCTGTCTTCACAGCCAAGTTTCTTGGCTTCACCTCCTCGTGCCTTCCTGTCCCCCGGCCTGGGGCATATGGCTTCACCCTATCACAAACACTTATGTGAAGGTCACCTTGACCTCTTAGTGGTCATAAGCAGGGACTCTTTCCACCCTTACCTCACCCACCTCTCTTTGGTATTTGTCTTTCTCAGCCACCGTCCCCTCTCTTCCTGCCTCCCTGGCCAGACCCTCTCCCGTCTCCTTGGTGTCCCCTTTTTCTCTGGCTCCTATGACTTGGTGTCACCCTTCGTCGGGTCCATCATCCTCCTCCTGCCCTTCTTACTCCATGTGCTTGGCCTGGGTTTTGCTTTAGCCACAACCTTGGCCCCAAACACCAGCCCCATGCACACGACCAGCTCAAACTAGCTTCAGCAAAATGTGGGGTGTATTTTAGAATAGTGGGGTGTGCCATAGAACCTAAGGAGCAGAACATGGCTGGGCCGTAGACATGATGGAAACCATGGGCTTCACTAGGACGGAACTATGTCACGCACTCCATTATCTGGGACAGTGCCAGGCACTCCATAAACATTTGTTGATCTGAGCTGGACATGCTGGCAGCCATCACATCGGATCATGTCATTCTTTTGCGTAAAGAATTCCAGTGGGTTTCCACTACCCTCAGTATAAAATCCAAATTTTTCATGTGACTTTCAAGGCCCTTTAGATCTGGCCCTGCCTCCTCCCCTTTCAGCCTCATATCTGGCCACTCCAGCCTTCCTGTGCCCGCCTCAGTGATGTGTACACCCTGGAACAGTGTGTGCACGCTCTCTCGTGTCTGGGTGGCATCGGCACCTCCCTATGTTAGTCACCTTGGGCTGCCATGACGAATTTCCACTCAGTGTCTGAAAGCTCAGAGTCTCATAGCTCAGGAGGCCAGAGCTGAAATCAAGGCAGGGCAGGGCATGGTCCCCCAGAAGGTTCTAGAGGCGCATCCTCCCTTGTCTCTTCCCCCTCTGGAGGCCCCCGGTGTTCTTGCTGGTGGAAGCATAATTCCACCCTCTGCTTCCTTCTCCACATGACACTTCCCTCCGTGCATATCTCTGTCTTCAAACTGTGTTCTCCTGGCTTATAAAGTTGTACAACTGAAACTTATATAATGTTACTAACCAGTGTCATCCTAATAAGCTTGATTTTTAAAAAGACACCATTCACATTGGGTTAGGGGCCCACCCTGCTCTAGTATGATCTCATCTGAACTAATTACATCTGCAAAGACCCTATTTCCAAATAAGGTCACATTCTGGGCTACTGGGGGTTAGGACTTCAACAGATCTCGTTAGGGGACAAAAATCCAACCCAAACACTGCTCTGTCACCATAACCTCCATCTCAGTCTGGAATGCTGTTTTCTTGCCGTTCCCCATCCACTCATACACACACACACGTACAACACACAGACACACAGACACCACACATATGTACACCACACACACACATGTACAACACACAGACACCACACACACACACACCACATGTACACTACACACTCATATACACCACACAGATACCACACACATGTACACCACGTACACACATACCACACACACACATACACACATACACACCATGCAGGAAACATACACACCACACATACACACACACATACGCACCACGCACCACACATACACACGCACCATGCACCACACACACACACTCACACCACACGCACATGCTGGCTTCCTGCCACTCTCTCATCTGCCTGGAAGGTGCTGGCTGTCTCTTGAAGCCTCAATTCAAGTTCTGCCTCCCCTGTGGAATCCCCCTTTTCCGTGTGTCTGCATCTCCGCCATTTCACACAATATACCTGGGAGAGTAAGACACCTTTTTAGCTCCCACCAACAATGACCTCTGAGAGAGAAGGCTTGAAGTAAGAAGGATCGAAGTGAGGCTCACCGATCTGTATTCTGAGACGTCAGGATGCAGCACTAGAAATGTGTCCTTGAAGGAGGCCTGACTGCTGTCCTCAAGGCAATGTTTCCGGGTGGTGTGGCCCACTCGTCAGCTCCAGGGCCTCCTCCTGCAGGAAGCCTCCCTGGATTCCATCTCTACCTTGGATCTCCTTAACCCTCCCCTGGACCTCGCTCGGGGTGGCCATGTGCATGCCTGCTCTTCTCACCAGACTGGGTTCCTGGGGAGCAGGGCTCGAGCTCTGGACATCGTGGCGTCCCTGACAGAAGGACCGTGTAGGACCCTTGTTGCCTGGGATCACCCAGTGAGCCTCCTCAACTTACAGGTCGTGGGCCCACTGTTCGGGCTGTTTGACCTGGAACTGGGCATCTGCATGGGAGGCAGCCAGGCTTCTGACCCTCTGCCCAAGCCAGGGAGGGTGGGCGTGCGGCTGAAACAAGGGCACCGCCAGGCGACGAGAGCACGGCGGCTCACGCGTTCCTGTCACCCATGCAGGTTCGTGTGTGCCCAGCTGCCCAACCCCGTGCTGGAGAGCATCAGCATCATTGACACACCAGGGATCCTCTCCGGGGAAAAGCAAAGGATCAGCCGAGGTAAGCCAGGTAGCTGGGAGGGTTGGCTGGCTCCATGCTCTGTTCTTTCTGGTACGTTCTCTTGCTTCCGTACCAGGAGAGAGGCCTCCAGGGCCTTGCTGTCCCCTGATGAGCCCGCGCTGCTTCATGTGCTGTATGGGATCATCCTAGGCAGGGACTAGAGGTCAGGTTTGGGTCCACTGTAGCTCAGGAGACAGCTGGCCGCTGTCTTCTCCTCTGTGAAATGGAGACATTAGTATCTGCCTTACTTCCCTCGCTGAGGTTACTCATGCTCCAAGCAACATCTAATTTCCCTCAACGAGGTTGTCCACGCTCCAGGCGACACCTAATGTGGGCCAGGACCTGGCTGCTTCTGAGGTCCCTGCAGTCTCTGCCCCCAGGAGCCTGCAGTTCTGCAGGGACGGCGGGTGCACGCAGAGCACCCCAGCTCGGCAACGTGAGGACAGCATGCTCTGGGGCTGGTTTGCAAAAGCACTTTGAAAACTGTTCACTCCAAACACATATGGGGTAATTGCTCATTAAGGGGGTCATCCCCAGGGTGGTTAGGAGCTAGAACTCCGGAGCCAGACTGCCAGGGTTCAAAGCCCGCCTTTGCCACTTCCTGGCAGCATGAACTTGGGCAGGTTTCTTTGCTCTGATTGGTTCATCTATAAAGGACAGAGAAGTAAATCTACCTACCGTATAGGTTGTTTGAGGATTAAAAATAATACAGATAAAAGCCTTCTGCCTGGCACGTAGCGGTGCCCAGTGAGCATGAGGTGTCACCATCACTGGTTTTTACAGCCAGACGGATGCTGTTAAAAGCTAAAAGCAACTGCTCCTGGCTCCTCACCCCCAGCCTCTCCTACCACAGTGCTGTGTGCCCCGGGCAGCCCCTGCCCTTTCTGTGCCCTGTGCTGTATCTCTGGCGAGAAAAGCAGATGAAGCCACACCCACCCGATAGTGGACTTAGGAGCTTGGCTAGAGCCAAGTCAGCACTCGGAAGTCAGCATCCGGGAAGGAAAGGCTTTGGACTGGCCAGAGCTCCCTGGGCAGCGGCGGGAGCTCGCCTCGCCTGAACCCGCGGGTGACCACCTGCCTCCCTCCCACATGCCTCCGCCCGGTGCTCTGCGGCCCGGCAGGGTCAGACACAGGTGTGTTCTGCAGGCTGTCTGTGCTCCAGCAGGAGGCTCAGAAACCCCTCCACCAGGGGCATGGCCTGCAAGGGCCAGCATCTGCTCACCCCAGGCCCCTCAAGGACAGCCCGCAGCCTCCTAGGCGACAGACCAGCGCTCCAGGGGCTGTGTACCATGAGTGCTGCTGGCAAAGGCCCGGTGCAGGCCGCTTCTGCCGGACCTGGGCTGCTGTCCAGCACTCCTGAGACCTGCCCTGGCTTCCTCCCTGAAGGGGCAGCTCGGGGCACCAGGCTCTGCAGTTTGGGGGTGCACTATGGCTGTGGGGGGTAGGTGAGGCCCCCAGGTTAGCAGTGTGCTCAAGGGCCTCATGACCCCTGTCTGTCCTGAAGGGAAGACAGAGCCTGGTCTTGGGGACCCCATTTTGGACAGGCCAAAGGGATTTCCCTGAGGCGGTCACACCTGGGAAGACGGGAGAGAAAGCAGCCTCAGGAAATTGTGTTAACAGTTTGTCGTTGGCAGCCTGTCTTCTACATAAGTGAGATGTCAGTAAAAGCCCCTGTGAAAGGTTCTGGGGAGCCCGGGTCCTGAGCGCCCTAACTCTGGGCTATATCTGAAGCCATAGAACCAACAGCCCTGGGAAGAGGGGGGTCTCGACCCTTCTGGTCTCTATGCCCTTTGTCAGCATCTGGTACCCTGCTCAGGGCCCTGCAGCAGACAGCGTGCATGGCTCCCCGTCTGGCTTCTGTTAGTTTCCCTCGGCACTCCCTCCCCCTCACCAGGCCCCACCCCCCACCCCACCCCCACTCCTCTGAGCTCATCCTGAGTTTAGGCCTCCAGGGGTTTCTGCCTGGGGCAGCCTGAGTCTCCCCAGAAAGGCTCAGGGGCCAACCTTCGGGGTCTGAGCTCCCTGGCAGGCAGGGACGCCTGCAGGCCAAGGCAGCCTGACGGGGGTCTGGAGGTTTCCAAGGCTGCGGGACTGGAAGGTCAGAGATGGGGTTAGAACCCGTGAGGGTCTCAACAGGTCAGTTTTCTCCCTGAGCCTCAGTTCCCATGTGTAACAGGGAGTGATGATAGCCACCATATGCCCTTGTGAGATCCTTGGCTGGTCACAGAAACAGGCATCAGCTCTGGGTCTGGGTCTGAGAGAGCTCCCCTCCCTCCCCTTTCCCTGTCGCCCGGGGCCACCCGCTGTCCAACCCCAGGGAGCCCGTGTGCCCGGCCTCCCTCGCACAGTGGCCCTGCTGCGGGGCCTCCAGCCTTCCTCAGCTCCGGTCCTGCTCCATTCTCTTCCCCAACTCTGCCTCCTCTCCTGCCTTCGTCCTAGACCTCCGTGGCTGCCCTTCATGTCCTTTCCCTTCTAGCATGACCGAGCCCACCTCAGGGCAGTGATGGCCCCGGGAGTGGCCACCCAGGCCAGTTGGTTCTCTGCCCTCCTGAGTCCAGACTACAAGGGCAGCTGTTAGCAAACGCACAGGAGCTGGGCCGCCAGCCTACCGCGTCAGCCAGGGGGTGCTGACCTCGGCTCTCCAAGGAGGCCAGGAAAATTGGAGGAGGGGGAATCACACACTCTCAGGTACCAGGGGACCCCAGGTGAGGAGAGTTTCCAGTGTGCAGAGTCCTTCTGCCTCCTTCCTCATGAAGCCATAGAACCGGGAGGCTCCAGCGTGTACCTACACACATAAACATCTACACTCGTACTCACCCAACCATACACGTGTACACCTACACTCATATACACATCCCCCACAAGTGTGTGCTTAGAACCAAATGCACCTCATCTGGCCTGGGGCCCTCGGAGCTCGGGTGTGGTCACAGCACAGATAGGCACTTCTCTTCCTTCGGCAGCTCAGGGCAGGACAGAACCCACAGCCCTGCTGAGGGGCGTGGAGAGCCTGAAATCGAGCCCACATTCTGCCTGCACAAGCCTCAAGCCTGGCACAGGGCTGTGTCTCCCCAGAAAAATGGCAGCATTGTGAAATTTGCACAGAGCCTCCTCTGGGCCGTTGGGTACCGTATGCCACATTCTGGAAAGTGAGCTGCTCCCGAGGGCTCCCCAGGCTTCAGGAAGGCGCACTCAGACCCCAGGCCAGAGCTGGACAGTGTGGTCTTGCTCAGGGTGTGTCCCCATTGCCCAGGCCTGGGGGTGAGTGTTTGGGGGAGGGGAAAGCGGGGGACATCCCAGAACCTGGGCCTGAGAGGTCACAGGCCAGCGATTGTCTCTGGATCAAGATTCATTGGGTGGGCAGCAGAGGGCAGGGAGGCAATTCCTGGAAGTGACAGGATGTGCCCGGCCCAGGACTTATGACTGGGAAGGAGCAAGGAAGCGACACAGTGGGTGGGCTCCGGAAGCCTGCGTGTCCCCACACTTGGGAAGCACAGTTCCCGGCTGCTCGTCAGCTAGAAATCCCCGCAGGCCCCACCCTAAAGCAAGCCCGCGGCCGGGAGCCCCATCCCTCTCCGTGACCCCTTCCTGTGCAGGCGGGCCCGGCGGTTCTACGGCAGGTGGGAACTCTGGCCTCCCGGGTCCCAGCCTAGTGGCCTTTCCACACGCCTCAGGGCCTGCCCAGGAAGAAGGTGGGGAAGAGGCAGGTCTGAGCTCATTCTACAGCCTCACACCCCTGGCCTGTCCGGACACCCTCCCTGGAGCAGGGCTGGCTTGGGGGCCTCCTGAGCCCCAGACAGCACTGTATACCCGAGCCCGTGTGGGCCGCACACGGACAAAGCAGTCGAGCCCGATGCCCTTGAAAGGGGCTTGCTGGTGGCCTGTGGACATCTGGAAGGCATGTGGTGTGGCGTTTGTTCCCCGCAGTCATCTCAGTTCTTCCCACATTTTGAAAATGGATGCCTTTTCATTTCTTTTTTGCTAAAATGTCTTTAAATCTTGAAAGAGATTTTGGAGGGCAAGACAGGACCTTTTATATACCCACCACAAGAAAATGCCTGGTTTGAGGGCTCAGCCCTCTGAGCTCCAGCCTGGCACATTGCTATGGACAAGAAGGGAATATGGACCAGAGTCAAGGATCTGGGTTCTAGTCCCAGGTTTGCCACCACCTGGCTGTGTGAGCTTGGGCAACCCCTTCACCCCTCTGTTCCCCCTGCCTTCGCTGTAAGATGTGTAGGCCCCATTTACCTCCTGGCATATGCAGAGTTGTAAAGATCAAATGAGATTGTGTGGCTGAAAATACAAAGAAATGGGTGCAGTGTCTGTTGTATTTCACTTCAGACTGTGAAGGAAGCCAGTGGTCATTAAGGAGCTGCCTTGCTTACTGTGATTGTCTCGTTGATTTCCTCCTGCCTGGCATTACTGAGGCATGCTTTCTCCCCGCTCTGGAGCCTGGGGGCAGTGGGGAGCCCTGGTCCCTGCAGCAGCCCAGTGTCTGGGCCGGGTGCCTGCACACCAGGTCTCCGGGAGCCAGCAGACTTGCCGTAAGCGATTCCAGGAAGGCCTGCTTCGGCCAGCAGTCTCCTGGGCCTCCCCCATCGCCGTATCGTACCTCGTGAGCCCGTGGGCTGCTGCAGGCACTCCCGAGCTCCCACTGTGGTTCTCAGAGCCAGTCCTGGGCCAGTGAGGGAAAGGGGGCCTGTCCCTGGGTGTCCTGTCACCCCAGGCACCAGGGCAGAGCCTCCAGGCTGAGCGCAAACCCTCCCTCTGCAGTCGATCCTGTAGCCATGGCTCTCACTGACCCCTCCTTAGTCAGTTGTTATTATCCCTGTTTGACAGCTGGGAAAATCGAGGTTCTGAGGCCACACAGTCCGTCAATGGGAGGGCTAGTCCCATGCCCCTCTCCCTAGTGGGCCCAGCACAGGCCTTTCTGTCGCTCCCTTTCCTGGGTGTACATAAGCCGAGTCTGGGAAGCAATTAAATACCCACCCTGGAGGTTGTCCCGATTTTCTTTTTTAAATATATTTTTATTGATTTTTTTAGAGTGAGAGGGAGAGGAAGAGAGAGAGGAAGAGAAAGAGAGAGAGAGAGAGAGACATGGATCCGCTGCCTTCTGCCTACTGGGATCAAGTCCGAAACCGGGGCATGTGCCCTGACCAGGAATGGAACCAGTGACCTTTCAGTGCACCAGACAATGTTTCCACCAACTGGGCCACCTGGCCAGGGCTGTCCTGCTTTTCTGAGCCCTCTGGCCCCTTTCCTGCCCACAGTTCTGAAGGATTGTCTTTGGGAGATGAGAGCAGCCAGTGTACCAGGCTGTGTCAAAGGGAAGGCTGCAAATAGCCAGGAGCTATCCCTGGTGTGGGGGAGGGGAGCAGGAGAGCAGGTGCAGGCTGCGGGCCCACCTGGACCCGGAATGCACAGGGCCTCCTGGGCTCCCTGGGCGCTGCTGGCTGGGCCTGCGTGGTGGGGAGGAGAAGGCAGGGGGCAGGGATCTGGCCAGGTGCTGGACGGCTGCCCTCATGGCGTGTGCAGGGCGCTCAGGGCTCCATCGGCCGGTCCAGTCCTGGCACCATCCCTTGCGGCTGTTTGACTCTCACCTCATCTCTGAACCTGTTTCCTCCTCTGGAAAGTGGATGTGCTACTCCTCACCCCGCCTACCTCAGAGGGTGTTGTGGGGGTGAAATGAGGTGGTGGGCAAACATCTGGCCAGCCGGAGCAAGCACTGAGTCTGGGTTAGGGAGCTAGGTTCCATGCCTCCTCGCGGCACCATGCGAGCTGGGTGGTCCTGCCCGAGTCACTGTGTGACTGTCTCTCGGTGGCACTGATAATGTCCCTACCTCGTCTCTGGGCAGAGCACTTTCCTAGGCCCCTCTCCTGGAGTGAAAAGGCTAAATAGGAATAATGATGTTGATAATAATTAGTATTTATTGAGCAGCTACTATATGCTGGGCTTCATGGTATTTAGTCCTTATAATTCTATTAATTTGGTACATTACTGTGCCCACTGATAGATGAAAACACACCGACTCAGAGACACAGAGTAACTTGCTCAAGGTTAAATATGAAAATGGTGGAGGAGTCAGGAGTTGAACCAGATCTGACTCCCAAGATGGTATTATTTCTACTATTTCACCTCTCCCCACACTCCTCATCTGTGCCCCAAAGGCCCCTCCCCTGACTGTCCCTCTGCCGACAGGGTACGACTTTGCCGCTGTCCTTGAGTGGTTCGCGGAGCGGGTTGACCGCATCATCCTGCTCTTTGACGCCCACAAGCTGGACATCTCCGATGAGTTCTCGGAAGTCATCAAGGCCCTCAAGAACCACGAGGACAAGATGCGGGTGGTGCTGAACAAGGCCGACCAGATCGAGACCCAGCAGCTGATGCGGGTGTACGGGGCTCTCATGTGGTCCCTGGGGAAGATCGTGAACACCCCGGAGGTGATCCGGGTCTACATCGGCTCCTTCTGGTCCCACCCCCTGCTCATCCCCGACAACCGGAAGCTCTTTGAGGCTGAGGAGCAGGACCTGTTCAAGGACATCCAGAGTCTGCCACGAAATGCTGCCCTGCGCAAGCTCAATGACCTCATCAAGAGAGCCAGGCTGGCCAAGGTGAGGCTGCCCCTGGCAGGGGGGCAGCATGGGCGGCACCGAGTGCTTGGGGTGGGGGAAGAGCTGCCTGCTACCTTGAGCATAACTGCCCATGTGAGTAGTAGCTACTGTGTCATGAGCATCAGCATGCCAACGCCAGAGGCCAGGGAGCAGGGTACTGTGGTAGTTATGATCACAGACCCTGGGGTCAGACAGCGAGATTGGAGCTCAACTCCACTGTTTACAGACTGTGTCCCAACCCCAGCAAGGCCCTCCGTCTCTCTGTGCCTGTTTACACGCCTGTGAAATGAAAGGGTTGGAGGCTATAGTAGAATAAGAACGTAAAAGCCTTCGTGGCCGAGCCTGTCCTCAGAAGTGCTCGGTAAATGTTAGCTGTTGTTATTGCCTTCTCATCGACATCGTCTCCACTATTACCATCCCTGTTACCGCCTTGCCCTTGAGATCTAGGAAAACAGCTCAGCTCTGCAGGCAGGGTGAGAGCAAGAATGTGGAGACAGACATTATCTTGGAAGTAGGAGCAAGGGGAAGTGGGGTTATGGGAAGAGATGGGTGGAGGCTCCCAGAGGGAAGGAATGCACTGAGGTCTTGATCGAGTGTTCTCTCTGCCCCCGTTGCTCAGGTCCATGCCTACATCATCAGCTCTCTGAAAAAGGAGATGCCCTCGGTGTTTGGGAAGGACAACAAGAAGAAGGAGCTGGTGAACAACCTGGCCGAGATTTATGGCCGGATAGAGCGGGAGCACCAGATCTCGCCTGGCGACTTTCCCAACCTGAAGAGGATGCAGGTAGCCAGGGTCTGGGCTCCGGGACAAGGGACAGTGTCACATGAGCTGGCTGAATAGCCTGAGTATGGAGGAAGCCACCCAGGCAGATGGCCCTAGGTCTGTCCTCCCTGCTGGACTATCACTGGCCCAGCAGACGTCATATCTGGGACTGGGGCGAAACACAGAACTCCAGTAATCTAAAGGGATAGGGGTGTCCCATGATGTTTGGGGTCCATACCCCGAGTTTGTGACCTTCCCTAGTCACAACCATCATGTCATGTGGGATGGGATGAGCCACCTAATGAAGGTTCTGCAGGCCCTCAAGTACTTCTGTTTACCTCTGAGCTCCTGCTCAGGGGTGACCGGGGACATATGCCATGGAGAAGTCACACAGGGGCTTGCTATCTCTGGAGCCCACTCTGGGCCCCTCTCTTGAGCCAGGGACTGTCACACATGGTTTCTCATGTCATTCCCCAGAGCAGTCCTCTGTGGGAGGCATTTACATCCTCCTTTTTTCAGATTAACAAATGGCAGTTTACAAAGATAATTAACCTTTGCAATTAATTGCCTGCAGTTTTCTGAGTCACATAGGCCGCTAGTAGAAATGCCAGGAGCTGTCCCCATAGTCCAAGCAAGAACCACCTCATCATACTACTGAATCCTCCCCTTCATCTGTGACCTGAGGCCCCAGAAGCACCCAGGTATGGCTGCTGTGAGCTTCAGTGAGATGAGATTTATAAGGTACTCAGCGCAGAGCCTGGTGTAGACTCCACCCTTGAAATGAAGTAAGATGTCACCAGCAGGGGAAGCTGGGTGAGGAGCAGAAGGGACCTACTGATCCACACAGTTTTTGCAGTTGCTCATGCCTCTAATTATTTCAAAATACAGGGTTTTTAAAAATCGGAGAATTCGAGGAAAAGCAACCGCAGATGTACCAGTAATACTGCTTTTGCTCCCGTTGCTAACTGATCCAAAGCAGTTTCTCGGGCGAGACTCGGGTTTCAGAGCGCCCTGTCGTCTCCAATAGGCACTTTTAGTTTCCTAGCTAATTCTTAAAACTAGACATTCAAAATATACATTTGTTCATGGGTGCATTCCTTCCTGGAACCGCCCCCCTCGAGTCACTCACTAACTTCAGAATTACTTGAACGTAATTTGTGTTTCTCGGTCAGCTGTGGCTGGAACCTGTCAACATTTCATTTCTCTTTTCGTTGGGAATGTAATGATCTGTGAGTAAACATTTGGGGAGATGACAACCCCCTTTTTAATGTGAGGAATTTTCACAACAGAAATAATTTAACATCTTCTGTTGTTAGGTGCGCTGAATCAACAATGTAAGCAGCTGTCCTTTGGGGGACTATGTGGTGGGGTGTGCCCACTGTACCCCTGAGAGATATTGGGACCCATAGCTGGGAACCCACAAAACACACCTAGCTGTGGGCAGAGACAGGAGGGACCTTGGGAGATTGAGCCCTGAGGGCAGTAGAAAGAGCAGGTCTGCTCCGCCCACCCGCCCCCCACCCCCCACCCCCGCCCCAACCACTCCCAGCCCCCACCTCCCCGCTCAGCCTGTCCTTGAAGGGAGGTGAGAAATGCCCAAGCTAACAGTGACTCTTGAAATATAGCTGTGGGTGTTTGGGGAATTTTTCTACAGTGAACTCGATGTGCTTGTTTGTCCCTGAGACTATGCCCTGAGCGCTGGCCGCTGCCCAGTGTCCTGAGATTGCTGTGGCCAGAGCCAGGCGGGAGCGGGAAGCTCTCACCTGGTCACCGCTGGGCCCGGGAGGAGCTGGGTGTTCTAGGCTCTGGACGTGCCAAGTGGAGCGTATTTCTCTTACCCTGTGGCGGGGGTGTCGCGGGAGGGTCAGGAGGAGACCTCTGCAAAATCTGCGTGCCCGCCTGTGTCTACTGTGTCAGAACCTTCCAGAGAGGAGCCGATCATTGAACTGTCTGCAGGCCGTCCCGATGAGCTTCCTGATGAAGAACAGCTGGTTTGGGGTCGACCTCGGCTTCTGTTGTGATTTGTTTTCAGTTGCCTTGGCCTCCGCTTTTTCTTCCCTGAATGGGGTGGAATGTGATTTCCCACTCTCGGGAGGGGGCTAGAGCAGCGAATAAGAGAATGTGGTAAAAGCGCCCTCAGTGGCTTCCAAGTATGACCCTCACTGGAGCAGAGAGACCCATGTGCTCCGCCGACTTTCCCTTTCCCGGCCCCTGAAACTTCTTCTCTCCTGAGAAATTCCATCCTCAACACAATGTGCCTTTTTTTTCCTCCTCTCTCTCATCTTTTATTATTTTGATGTTGCTCAGTTTAGCTCCAAGCAAAGGGCTGCGAATACCCCAGCATTAGAAGACAGCCTCCCCCAGGAGGGGCAGGAACACCTTCCACTGTCTCTGTCCTCACCGTCCTTCCTCCCCCTCTTCCCAGGACCAGCTGCAGGCCCAGGACTTTAGCAAGTTCCAGCCCCTGAAGAGCAAGCTGCTGGAGGTGGTGGACGACATGCTGGCCCACGACATCGCCCAGCTCATGGTGCTGGTGCGCCAGGAGGAGTCGCAGCGGCCCATCCAGATGGTGAAGGGCGGAGCGTTCGAGGGCACCCTGCATGGCCCCTTCGGGCATGGCTACGGGGAGGGGGCCGGGGAGGGCATCGACGACGCCGAGTGGGTCGTGGCCAGGGACAAGCCCATGTACGACGAGATCTTCTACACCCTGTCACCGGTGGACGGCAAGATCACGGGTGCCAATGCCAAGAAGGAGATGGTGCGCTCCAAGCTGCCCAACAGTGTGCTGGGCAAGATCTGGAAGCTGGCCGACATCGACAAGGATGGCATGTTGGATGACGAGGAGTTTGCACTGGCCAACCACCTCATCAAGGTCAAGCTGGAGGGGCACGAGCTGCCCAATGAGCTGCCTGCCCACCTCCTGCCCCCATCCAAGAGGAAAGTTGCTGAGTGATGGGAGCAGGGGGTTCAGAGCAGGCAGGTGTTTCAGGAGATGGGAGAGGCGATTAAACACACACACACACACACACACACACACACACACACACACACACGGGCATAGATCTTGAGAACTGCTCTGCAGATGAGCAGAAGTGATCCCCAGGTTTCCGGGCAGATCTTTGTTTGGACACAAGTTCTCAGCGTTAGCAGAAGCACAGGGGCACGCCCGGGGTTCCCACTTCCGAGCCTCCATCTCCCTCCCTCTCTCCTTTCCATCTCCCCTGCCCAGGGACCCACCTTCTCCCGTGGAGGCAGTTGGTTCACTCGCCCACACGGCTCGCCCACCTCCAGATTCCCTAGCCTCGGAACAGATGGAAATACTTTTCACTTAATAGGCAATTCGCTTTGTTTTCTGAGCTTTCTCCCCATCTTTGGCTTCCTAACATGAAACCTGCCCCGGGGCCGGGAGGTGTGCAGGAAGGGGGCTACTGCAAGGAGGTGGTGGGGCATCCTCGGGAAACCAGCTTCCAGACTTGAAGAGACGCGGCCCTGAACTCTTCTTCCCAAGCCTTCGGCTTGTCTGTCCCGGCAGACCTGGCTGTGAGCCCCGCCGACACTTCATCTCGCAGAATCCCAGTACGGGAGGGCACTGGCAGGAGAGAGAGTAAAGAAACTGCCTCGTCATCCTCTCCTCAAAGCCAGTCGAGGAGGTTGTATTCCGCAGACTTTGTGAGATTCGTGTTTTCCACCTGGCTCTGGTGTGCGGGTGCTCAGACTCCGCTCACATTTCTCCAGCCCTCTGCATGCCAGGACCTGTTGGGCACTTTACAGACACCATCCCATGTGGCCCTCACCACCCCCCGAGGGAGTATGCATCGGTGCCCCCATTTTTCAGATGAGGAGTCTGACTCAGAGTTTAGGTGACCTTCCCACAGCGCCAGAGGTCACACATGATGGAGGAGTCAGAGCCGGGGCCTCGCTCATCCCTGTGCCGTGAAGGTGTGAGCAGGATCTCAGCATCGCTAGCCCGGCACCAGCCATGGAGAGCGAGCCAAGCCTGCAGGCCCCTGTCCTCCCAGAGCTGGCTGGCGAGTGGGAAGCCCAGCGAGCATTTGGTGGGCATCAGTCTGGCCATCTGTCACCTCACAGAAGCAAACCGTGCCTTCTGGCTATGTGCCCCACGTTCCCAAAGTGGCAGAGGTCCAACAGCGCCGGTGGGAGAGTGGGCCTGCCTGCTGGGTGCTGTTCCCGTCTGTCCCGCTCCACCTCCCACGCCGCTGAGTCATCCCAGCTCAGATGCAGCTGACGCCATCAAGCGGGGCCTCGTGCTGGCTCTCAGAAGGCCAGCCGGACAGGTCTGAGGTGTTCCTGGCAGGACCCCCAGGAACTCCGGTGTCCTTGACACATCCCCACCGTCCTCAGTGCCCTGCTCCCTCCTTCACGTCTCCCCCCGGCTTGCTTTGTGGCCACTGAACCAGTCACTTTGTATGCTATGCTCCTACTGTGATGGAAAACAAAAACAAGTATAACTTATTTTATACCTACGTTCAGACTATACAGAGATATTCTACGCATCTATGATGTGCTCACTACTGTAGTGCGTTTGTCATTAGTGTTCATGTTCATACAGCACATTTTTCCTTTGGTACCCGGTTGGCCACAGAGCATCATTCCTGAGGTTCCTGGTCGCATCTTTGGCAGAGGCCTGGGCTGCCCATGGCAGCGTCCGTGCACAGCCTCCCACTGGCCGGATGACGACCCAGGGATTAGGAGGCTGCCCCATGGAACCACCTCTCCCTGCCGTTCTGGGGAGGAGATGGACCCCAAACCTCTGGGCTGCCTTCTGCACCCACATATTCCTCCTCCTCCTGAAATGAAGGGCAAAGGAAGGCTAGGCTAGGAGCTCCGGCCTCTAACTCACGCAGGGAGCCCAGCAGAGACCATTTGTCAGCTCTGTGCCTCTCTGAGCTGAAGGGGCATGGGAAGGAGACAGCAGAGGGGAGTGAATTTGTCTCTGTTTTAGAAGGAAGAGGGTGCCTTAGTCCCGCGCCCTCGGCCACATGGATACGTGCACCCCTTCCTGCCCTGCCCCTCCCTCCCCTCTCCAAGGCTCCGCCCGGAGAGATCCCGTGGCAAGGGAATCTGGGTTGGCACTTTTCCCATCCCCCGAGAAAGAGGAAATGGTACTTGAGGCTCCTCTCAGCGGCCAGGGGACAGCGGAGGGTCACTTTCTCTGGGGCTTTCCCTCTGGCGCTTGCTGCCCCAGCCTACTGACCTCGTGCTGGCTCCCGGGACCTGGGGAGATCTCGTGGCTCAGCTGGGGAACATTTCATACACAAAGCAGCACGTGTCCGGCGGTCTCTCGGGCAAGAGTCCCTACAGACCTCACTGCACCAAGGCTCCTTCCCCACCACTCAGCCAGGGTCACGGGAGTCATCAGACACCCAGAGCTTACCCGCCACCACCGCCCGGAGAGCCTGCTCCTGGCACTGAGAACTGCATCATGACCGGAGTCAGGGACGCTGTGGGTCAGGGCAAGGCCTGGGCCTCCGTTTACAGAGCGGTGAGGGGCCCCCTGTCACCCCACCTCCATGTGTCCCTCTGTTTCAAGAGCTTGCATTTATGTGGCAGCAAGTCTGAATTAGCAGAGCTGTCTGGGGAGGAGAGGCTGGTTTCTTTCCCCTGTGAGATGTTTCTTTTGTCTAAGCGTATTCTTTACTCTTGAACTTGCTCCTCTATCTATCCATTCTTTCTTTCTTTCACTCAGAAGACCCTGTGACCCTCCTGCAGAAGAGGCCCGAAGGTAAAGAGAGGGATTCATACACTGAGCCACTGAAAATTCCTTAATAAACGCCGTCTGTGCAGTGGGGCTGATTCCAAACTCTTGCCCTCAGAGCGCTCACAGCCTGTTGGATTTCGGGAAATATTTATACAAACATTAATAATGCAAGGAGGAACCGGGACAGGTCCTGGAGTGGGGGTGCAGGCAAAGTGGGGGCGCATGAGAGTCAGAAATGGCTTCAAACTTACTTAGGAGGAGGATGGTCCAAGAAAGCCTGGGGTGAGGGTGGGGTGCACGAGCCGAATGTAAGAAGCTGGGGTCTGCTTCATGTACCTACTGCTTCCTTCTCTAACCCGGGAAGGCGTAAACACGCAGCACTCCCCGCCCACAGAACCGTGCGGACTCAGAACCACGGCTGTGTCTGAGGAAGGCACGATTACAGTTTTGCCTCTGGAGACTGCTGGTTTTCACAGGCCATTTTCAAGTCAAAACGTTATCGTATCTTTAAAGTTGAAACCTTCGGCGCCGGGAGGAAAAGGAAAATGGTGATGGGGGGTGTAAGTTATTCCAGCTGGAGCACGAGGGGGGCCGGAGGATGAGGGCACAGCTCTCCCCTCGCCTTCCCGTGGCGGGTGATCAGTCTGTTTGCCACATCTGGGTTCTCGGGTCCTGACAGAGAGGACTGAACTTTCTACCCCTCGAGGGGAGGTGAGCGGCGACTCGCTGCGGCTGGTGACATAGGAGAGAAGCAGCAGGCCCCTCTGCAGGAATGAGTGTGCCGCTCCCGGCATGCGGGGCAGGTGTGAAGATGGGGCCTTGGCCAGCTCAGGTCCGGGGTCTCTGCAACCCCTGACCCGCCTACACTGAGCAGGTGGCATGCATAAGACGGAACCCCTATGTATAAAACATATATATGTTTTTATTGATTTTTTAGGAAGAGAGAGAGAGAAACATTGATTGAGAGAGAAACATCGATTGGCTGCCTCCTGCACGCCCCCTATTTGGGATCCAGCCCGCAACCCGGGCATGTGCCCTGACCAGGAATCAAACCGGGACCTCTCAGTCCGTAGGACGACACTCGATCTTCTGAGCCACACCTGCCGGGCCCCTCGTCATTTTAAGCCACTAAAGGCCATGGGCTCTGTGTCACCCCTATAACCTAGATATAATCGTGACCAAAAGATCTGGTAAAGTCTTTTCCAATCACAAGTGTGAAGGAGAGAAAGTCTACGAGACTGAGGTCCTGCCTTCTTAAAAATCAGCACCGCCCTGGCCTGTTTGGCTCAGCAGTTAGAGCATCGGCCATGGACCAGAGAGACCCGGGTTCGGTTCCCGCTAAGGGCATGTACCTCAGTTGCCGGCCCCAGTTGGGGTTGTGTGGGTGGCAGCCAGTCCATGTGTCTCTCTCACGTTGATGTTTCTCTCTCTTCCTCCCTCTCTCCTAAATGCAAAAATGTCCTTGGGTGAGGATTAAAATAAAATAAAATAAAAATAAAAATAAAAACCAGCACCACCTGAAGCTGAAGTCATGGTGATTTGCACAAACTCCTTTTGCATCTGAGCTACATTCTGGGATGCCCCAGACTCGGCCCTTCGACATCACTTTTTAAACTGAATAACTGCATTAATGGAATCAAACACTGCTGGGCCCTGTCTTCCTCCTGCAATAATATAGACACTGGGGATTGACTGAGCATGTATCTGCCTAGACCTGAAACAGAGGGCATTCGGGTCAAAAAGAGAAAAACTACAATTCCCGAACCCCCTTGCAGCCAGGTTCAGGGGGTGGTTTCAGTCCTGCCAATCAGACATGCACATGGGAGAGTTTGCTGAAGCAGAGCATGCCAGAGGTGGACCCCGCAGGAAACACAAAGCTTCCTGACTTCGCAGCTTTCTTTCTGTGCTCAAGAACCTGGAAGTCTTGTCTGTGAGGTGGACTGAAGCAGTGGCCCGCTCAGTGACGGCCCTGCAAGTGACCACACGCCACCTCGTGTTTGCCTGCCTGACGTGGTGCCCGAGCACTGCTGAGATGTGCAGAGGGAGCCCGCTGCAGCAGGGAGGGTTCGTGAAAGGGTGTGTGTGTGTGTGTGTGTGTGTGCGCGCGCAGGTGTATGTGTGTGCATGTGTGTGTGTGTGTGTGTGCACATCTGTGTGTATATGTGAGTGGGGGTGTGTGCGCATATGTGGGGGGGTGTGAATCTGTGTGCAGGTGTATGTGTGTGTGTGTGTGTGTGCATGTGTATGTGTGTGTGTGCACATCTGTGTGTATATGTGAGTGGGGGTGTGTGCGCATATGTGGGTGTGTGTGAGTCTGTATGTGTGTGTGTGTGCAGGTGTATG